TCAAGGACTCGACGATCTAAAATACTCGTTAATAACGAAATAAAATGGGTGATGTTATCCCATTAATCGTACGCTCCTCGTAACTTAAGGTCTTTGTTTCCGACGGTCTACAGTTACGTAATTCGTGATCACGAGCTTCAAGCGACACGGTACGCGAAAGAACGCGTATAGGTATCGATAAACAAACCCAAGCATGCGACGTATACGTACAGAGACGCACGCATACTCGCGATGCGGGTCAGTCATCGTATCCATTGGTATGCGACCTCCTCCTCTCCCACCTCGTCGCTCGTTCTTGTTAAGCTGCAAAACACAGCAAGGTAGCCCGTGCAAAGATCTCCCGGTTGACGGAAACGCGAGGACAAACGGCGAACCGATCGTCGCGTAGTTCACCACCCACTGACAGGGGGAGAGGACGACGTTCGGTTAACTAGAGACACACGAGAAACTTGATAACCGACGTTCGCCTCTCCCTCGCTCCTTTCGCGGCTACGAGGAAACAGCAACGATTCCCGTTGTGGCGCAATTATCCTTCCGATTCCACTCCTCTCTCTCTTCAACTTTAACTTCCGTTTTATCTCTCTTTTCAGACTTGAAATCGTGCGACCAGCCTGCTCGAAAGGAGCATAGGCGAACAAACTTCCATGAAATTCACTGCACAGTTTGACGTAAAGATAGATTCGGTAACGTGCTCTAGGGAAACCGAAGGCATTTGAAGAGACGATGGGGCGCGTGACTTAGAGTAGGGAAAGACTCTACTTATCGAATTCGCTTGTAACTCAACGGTGGATTTCGGAGGCAAGAGATGGGGCGAAATACGAGGAACCAGCGACGTTCGTAACACGGTGAGAATACAGAGTCGCGGCGGGTGCGATCGCAGTGTGACGCGAGTAAGAGGCGTGCGGTGGCTGCAGCGGTCGCGACCACTGCACGCGAATGCATATATGTACATACATACATATATCTCTGCCTCGTCGTTGCACTCGGGAATGCGGTCTATAGCGCGTAGGATCGAGAGCAGACGAGCGAGCAGGAGGCCGAGAAACAAGAAGAAAGACGGGACCAGACAGGGACGCGGCGAAGAGAGCAAGGAGAGCCGAGGAAAGGACGAGCCCGCAGGAGCGAGCGAGAAACGGTGGAGAGAAGAGAAGAAGAAAGAGGAACGGCGACGGGACGGAGCAACAGGGAAAGAAGGAGAGCGTGCACGGCAGTCGTAAACGGCAACAATTGCTTGCTGCGGGCGTTGCCACTCGAGAGCCCGAGTGCCTAATGCCAGATGTCAGACGGTGGTTAGAGTCATTACGGTCATCACTTTGTACCGCGATACACGATGTGTACCCCGGCCGACTGATGCACCGCAGCATCTTCGCGCGCATCTTCCATGAGTGTGGACGCGACCCGCTGACTCGAACTGGGCGCGATCTGCACGGCCGGTACAATCGATCCTCCTTAGAGGACCCGATGATTCGACGACCAACCCGAGAGAATTATCGCATTTCGCTCTCGGCGCGTACCAAAAATCTACCGTGCATATTGCGGCATTCTATGTTTTTTTTCAGCCCCAAATCGTGTATGTACAACCACAAACGAGATATAAGAATAGGCCTAACATCTTATGGGACTTTGTGTCCCACGAAAATCACGGTAGTTCGAGCGCACCTCTACATAAAAGTTTCCGAGTTTAGGAACTACGTTCGACACCGTGATTTACGAAATTTGAAGAAAAATTCGAAGCTCCACGTGAAACGAAGTCACGAGCATTCGTATCTTCGTACTATCCTCCTCCTCCTCTCTCTCTCTCTCTCTCTCTCTCTCTCTCTCTCTCTCTCTCTCTCTCTGTCTGCCTGTTTTCCTCTCTGTCTACGGGTAAAGACGGACACGCGTAGTCGGACAAAAGGCTCCGTGGCTTAATGATCCTCGGTTGCCAGTTAGGACGAATAATGGGAGGCTTGCGCGAGGATGAATCGGAACCCGTGTCCTGCCACGTAGAATAGTAAGACGGATACTTGGCTGATGGATACGAATAGTTTTACGCGTGAAAGCCCTCGCGCACATTCGCGAGTGTATTCATGCGCGTGCGAACGCGAGCGTAGGGACGGTGCCTACCTCCAGGATTCAGATAGAGAAGAATAGCCTGGAAGCCGATTCGCAATGCCGATCGCATTTTTCTCTCGGTCCGGGTACCCCCGACCGCTGCCACGGTTGCATCGTTAGTGAAAATTAACGCGGCCGCTAATCGCCCGCGAACCCCAGCGCCAAGCGGTCGTGCACGCCAAGCGGTGCAATCTCGTCGCAGGAAAACGAATCGTTCGATGCGAAGCGAATGTCGGAACCGCGCGGGAATCCGACGCGTCATGAGCGCGACTTTCGAAACCCGTTTCCATGGTATAGCAAGAGAGTACCGTCTGGTTGTTTTTTTCACGAGTCGAAGAGAGGAGATTACGAAAAATGAGAGAGGGGCAGGAGAGGCAGGAGAGATAAAGTGAGAACGGGGCAGACTCGAAGGGGTGGAGCCGGTACCGAGGGGGATGGAGCGACAAGAAACGACCGTACGGCCGGTTCAGCCCCGAACGATGGGTGGGAGAACCCGAAAAATCTGTAATTATAATAATTATAGCCGAGAAGGCAACAATTATAAATCATCATTGAACTAGGCAACGAAACGCCAATAAAATATATATCGCACGAATGTTCGGAGCAGTCATTAGGAGCGGGTCGCAGTGTTCACACGCATATCCGGTCTTCTACCGGATACGTTTAGGCACTGCCCACCATTCCATTGAAAAATGTACTCGTTTATACCTCGCAATTTCCATCACCGGTTCTGTATTCGGTATTCGGCGTGCACCGGCGCGAGCATTCACCGCTTCTCCCTTGAATGCGGATGACAATCCAACGGGAGAAAAAAGAAGGCACGCGTTTCGCTCGGCCAGATGGACGGCCGAACTCTTATACAGAGAGGGAGGTTGAGGGAGGATTTTTCTCTTCTTTTTCTTCCGCGCGCCCTTTTCTTCCATCCTTCCTTCTTCTCTTCCCTCCCTCCTCTTCTCATCTCTCTTCCTCTCCTTTCATCTCCGTCCATCTTTTCTCCTCCCCTCCCGACTCTTCGATTCGTACCACTCGAATCCCCAAGTCCACGGATCGCGAACGTTATGAATGACAGACGCTTCGTCACAACGACAGTGGCTACCTCTTGCTCGTCGCGGAATCCAACGCCCGGTCCACGTTTTATATTCCGTCTGTTTTTTTCAGTTCCGTAGACTCTCGTCTGGTCCCGCTATCGAATCGAATCGAGGAAGAAAATAGCTATTAGCGAGTGAAAGTTGCAAGAGGAAGATAACTTGAATAAATGTGGAACCAATTCGACAACGAGGAGAGAGACTCCCGCAACACAGAACGACTCGAGGGGATCGATGGTCGATGTTAAATACACCGATGCGTTGCGTCACAGAGCGTTTCGCTTTCATATCCGTGCTAGCGGAGTATGTCCGGTGTGAAATTTTTCCCGCAAAGAAGTGGGTTACCGCTCGTTATTTCAGCAACCCACAAGAACCAGTAACGACTCCGTTATCGTACGTAAACGAGCGTATAAGTGTAGTATTACTTTCGACGATCATGCCGAGCGTAAGATGATCGTCCTTAAAAGACGACAGAAGGTAACGCCCGCGTAATACCCTTCGCAGAACGCATCGACATCTCAAATTTCAGAAACACTGGACTGGACTGCCCTTTCGCACCTCGAGTACGATTACTTTTTCGAATTAATGTAGCCTAGCGAACGCGAGGGGGACAAGGAAGGATACCCGGTCGTCCGGTCGGCATTCGAATACCAGGGATCGGCGAGTTCACGCCGTAAAGGTATACCGATCGCGAGGCTCGTAAAGCAGCGTCAGTGTCGAGAGCAACTTGTTCTCGGTCTAACAACGCTTCGGGAAAGAGCGTCTGGCCGTCCGCGGCTACAAAGAAAACGTTGGCAACAGGTTTTCCCGCTCACTGTGGATCGCCGCCCGGCCGGCCACGTGTTCGAGCAAACTGCACACAAGCGGACCAGCCACGTATGTAGTACATACGAGGCTTTTCAGCTTCCGAACGAACCAATCGCCAGTCTGTGATTCCCCTCGACTTCGGTGTTCATACGCACGATGCTCTTCCCATTCAGAATTCCTACGCGGCTCTTACACCTATTCCTTCGATCACGCTCTTCGCAGGTATCTCTCTGATTGGATTACGTGTGGGCGATAAAAAACAGCTGCCTGATTTGACGTGATCTAACCGTACTATGACCGCTAGTGTGAATCTGGCTTTAATCTGCCTTCAGATCTGAACGACACGAATAATCCAACGACCCTCGGCTTTCGTAAAGAAAGAACACTTGATCGATAACGCTCCTCGTATATTCGCGATATATGTACGCTAATAGCAACACGTCGGAGAAATCCTTTCGAATAGCGTATAGCCCGGCGCAGCGCGGTACCAATTACGAGTTTCCCAGCGTAACGTGAATATTTGCCTCGCGGCACGACTGGTCGCGAACGCGAAAGCCATGGCGCGCCAGTGCCCTTTTGGCTAACGCTGCGGTTCAGGGAACCTTTAACGCGGTGCGGCTCCAACAAGATGCGGCTGTACGCAAAACGGTGCGGCACGCTGGTGCCGCTTACGCAAGAGTTAAACGTGAACCTACTTGCGACCGCTGTCACTTTCGTGCCGCCGGCCCGTGCCGACTCTTTGCTATTGATCCGCGAGGATGTCGTCAATCGGTTTGCGATGACAGATCAATTAGAGGACCTCGCTTGTTGAAGATCGATGAACGTGAATCTTGAAAGACGTTCATACATGAAAGAAAGACACTCTACGAGATTGTGCAACCGCTTATCCGTCGCGCGATACATACTTGTTCGAGGATTTTCGTTTTAGTAATTACTTTGAAGCGTACAAAAGCAAAAGTAATCGGATGATAAACATATTCGAATAAAGGTGAAAATATGACGTTAAGGATGCCTTTAAATTTTACCTACCTTGAGAAAGCAGCGTCCAACAGGCATGTCCTCCGGAACGGTAGCATTGTACAGGGGCTTCTCGAAAATGGGTTCGTTGTCGTTGAGGTCGTGAACTGTCACACGTACTGTTGCACTACTGCTTAGAGGCGGTCGACCAGAGTCCGTTGCGATCACCACCAAAATCGGCGCGGGATCAGCCTCGCAGTCCACATGAGTTATCGTGGTTATCAAACCGGATGCCTCGTCGATCGTGAACCACGTGGAGTTTAGTAGAGAGTATTTTATTGCGGAATTGACGCCTTCGTCGAGATCCGTGGCCGTCACCTTGAGGACCGGCGTGCCAGGCTCTGAGGCTTCCAACAGGTGAGCTTCGTACCTTTCTTGAGCAAATTTCGGGGCGTTATCGTTCACGTCGGTGACGAGAAGCCGAAAGGTTCGAACGGCTCTCAATGGCGGTGTACCAGCGTCGGTCGCCTCGACCGACAGATCGTATACGGGTTTCTCTTCGCGATCGAGCGGTCTTTCGACCACGACCAAGTATATGATGTTGTCTCTAGTGGCCAGACCAAAGTGTCCTTCACCGCCGGTCAACGTGACCGTCGCGTTCGAATACTCGGTCCTCGAGTCCGGATCGCTGACCGATATCCTGGCCACGAACTCTCCCGGCTGAGCGCTTTCGCTGATCTTCGGCGTCGCATCGTCCGATAAGAAGATCACCGTGATCGTGGGTTGATTGTCGTTAACATCGGTAACGCGCACAGAAAGAAAGGCACTCGCCTCGAGAGGCTGCGCTCCACAGTCCCTCGCGACGACCACCAACTCGTGACGTTCCTTCGACTCGAAGTCCAGCGCCTTGTTCACGTACACCATACCGGTCTCCGGATCGATGCGAAACATCTCCTCGCGGTCAGACTGTCGTCGGTTGATGGAATACTCTATGCGTCCGTTGTCGCCCGCGTCGCTGTCCGTCGCGTTCACCGCCAACACCGGCGTTCCGACGGTCGCGTTCTCCGGGATACTCGCGACGTACCTGGTCTGGTTGAAGATCGGCGGATTGTCGTTGACATCCTGTACCGTCACGTTCACGTGGAGCCTCGAGCGAAGAGGTGGAGCGCCCCCGTCCAGCGCCTCTATTACCAAGTGGTACTGTGAACGAGCTTCACGATCCAGAGAACCGGAATTTTGTAGATCCAAGTAAAGAACGCCGTCCCGGCCGCGATGCTGGGAAAGCCTGAACGCTTCGCCGTGATTACCAGATACGATCTCGTACCTCTGCGTCGAGTACTGACCGAGATCGGGATCCTTGGCGGGCGGCAGAGCTCTTTTCGCGTCGCGCGGCGAATTTTCCGGGAACTCGACGTCCACGCGGCCCACCGGGAACGTTGGCGCGTTATCGTTCTCGTCGAGCACCTTCACGACTACCTGAATGTTCTGCGGCAGGGCGACCAAGCTGTAAGACGGCCTCGTTTCACGGTCTAATGGCACTTTGGTTCGAATTTCTCCCGTCGCATAATCCACGTTCAAATCCGTGTCGACCGCGGACCCCGAAACAGACACAATCAAATAAGGTGGACTGTCGGCGTCGATAAAACCCACCCTGGTGCCTGGTCTCGCGTTCTCCGAGACCTCTAAATATCTGACGAGTTCGGACCACGTGCCCGGAGCGAGGCTCGCTCCCAGGACGAGGAACAGTAGCAGGTGCCGCATCCTGGGGCCTTCACCACAGCCCCGCCGCCACCGCCGCCGCCACCACCACCGCCGCCACCACCACCTCCTCCTCCTCCTCCTCCTCCTCCTCCGTCTTGCGATCTATTATCTCGATCTTTCCATCCCTGGACAATCGATCGTGAGAGGACGCGAGTACCGCCAATATTTCCAAAGGTTCGTCATACGCCCCCGAGAAGCGCAGCAAAACGAAAATACGGAACGCGGAGAGCTATTTCCCCGACGAGGTTCCTTGGGTTCGATATCAAAAAACCGACGAAATGAAGCACGAGTATGCAATCCACCAGCACATTGATCACCCACCAGCAACAGCACCACCACCAACCACAATCACGCTTTATCCTGGTTTACCTTTTTGCGATCACTTCCACCACGACGTAGCACGCGTCTCGCGGAAAAATTACCGATTGTCTTCGCGCAACGTTCACTATTTCCCTGTTTTCCGTTCACCAAGTGACGTTCACCAAAGACTCTCGACACGTCGTGGAAATTCCATTGGCGGTCGCGAGTCTATCCCGACACTATCCCGCGTCGGTCTCTCTGTCTCTCTCTCTCCCCTCTCTCGGTCTCTCTTTGTCTCTCTTTATCTCATTCCGTCTACCTTTCTTCGTTTTCTCTCGTTCCTCCTCTGTTCGTTCTACCACCGCGTACGTGCCCGGCTATCTTTCTTTCCTTCTTCTTCGCTCGTGCTGGCACGCCGTGCTATCCGCTGTCCTCGCTGTTGCTAGAATATCTTCGCCTCGAGATATCGTACATTCCTCGCGTTAGATCCACGCCCGATAACTAGACGATCAACACAAGGACCAGTCGCGAACCTGGTACGATCCTTTCGCGTCGAGATTGCCTTTCATCTCTCGTCCGGTCCGTCGGATCTGCACCAAAAATTCGTTGATTTTGAGACACTAGACTCTAATGCACCGCGATATCTATGGCGTCCGACCCGCGGTGCCTTTTGTCATCGTTGCTGGAGCATGTACCGCGCGAGCTCCTGTCTTCCGGATCGTCGATCAATCCTCTCGGAAGTTAACGACCAGGCAGTACCAGTTGGACCAGCATGCGAGTGCGCGACTCGGCGGAACGAGTGTCGAGTCTACCTTCTCCGACGACTCTACTTATGCTGTGATCGTATTCGCGTTCGAAAACCACAGCCCTGATCACCCGGTCGTTCGTTTCTAACGAAACTGTCAATTATGACGCACACTCGTCGCGACCAAAAAATCAGCAGCTGTTTACGAATAACGCGGTTGCCCGACCTCGTCGATGAACCGCAACGTGTGCCCGATTCGTGACCTTCGCGGCGTATCGCAGGGGACGTGTTCTCCGTTACGATCGTAGCTTCTTCTTCCTCGAGAGCACCGTCTCGCAACTCGCTCTTGGAGTCGATACATCCGTGCCGCGAATCCTTCCGATCGAAGGGAATCGTTACGAAGCGTTCCGTGATCCCCTTGCGGCGACTAACCAATCTACCTTGAACACTCGGACTCCAGATCACTCTACGATCGAACGCGGTTCACTCTTTGCCCGAAAGAATAATACGGCACGAACCGAGAGCAGCACGAGGTGTCGCGTTCTTAGGCCCAGCGTCCGTTCCGCGCGGCTTCGAGGTTAGGCATGCACTGACATGGCGGCACCTGCAAGGCCTACCCTTCCCCTAACTCGGTGGACTTGGCTGGCTCGATCAGGGGGACCCGGCTGGACCCAAGCTGGCGGCCATCTTGGAGAGGGGAGCGGTAGTACTGGGTCCCGATATGCCGGGGCCTCGGCATTCAGCGAGCTTCGCGGCACCGAGCAGCTAGACTATACCAAACTCCGCTTCCCTGCTTGCCTGCCTGCTTACTTGCTTGCTTATACTTGCTAGCTTGCTTACTCGCTCGCTCCCTTCCTTGCTCTCCTGCCTGCTTGCTTGCTAGCTTGCCTGCCTGCCTGCCTGCCTACCTGCCTGCCTGCCTGCCCGCTTGCTCTGCTGCTTGCGCCTCTCCCTTCCCCATCTCACCTCCTCACTGCCTCTCTCTTCCTTCGCAGGTTCCTCGTTTTCTTCCTTCTTGGGCTCGTTCACAGCCTTCCTACCTACCTGAACGCCCGGTATGCGAACAACTGACTTACCATCAGTGCTCATTCCGCGCTTGGCCCTATGCGCCTCTTCTACGCCCGTGCCAAAGGTCCTGGAATTTCGTGACGCAACGAGGAAAAGATTCTGGATAGTTTGCATGCTGGCTACGAATTTTCCTTTTCCAGTATTGAAATTCGACGTACATATGTTCACGTTTCAATGAATGCAACATACAACCACAGCACCCAGGTTTTCTCGCGAACAGAGAAACCTCGTTCTGTCAAAAAATCGGAACATCACGCGAAAAAATCGAGACATCTCGCAAGTATGGTTGCGTCAGACCAAGTTTCACCGAAGAAATCGCACCAAAGGTCGCGAAATTTGCATGTTAACAGGAAGCGGCACATTAATTTTGACGATCTGTTAACACGTTCCCCGGGAGGGCACGAGACCGATGTTGGTTACATGATGCATGCGATACCGCGCGACGATGCAGCGAGTTTCGAACTCGACTTTCCAGAATAATTGCGTGCTTCGATAATATATTTTGCAACGGTACGTGCATAGATCACCGGTGATTTACTCGCGCCGCGCAGGTAGACCGTAAGTGATAAATTCTGCCGTTAATAATTCTGTGCATCAGCATATGGCTCGTGACGCGGTGGTTGCGACCAGGAATCTAAAAGCGCTACACAAAAAAAAACAAATTAACGAATTCTTCCTACCGGCATGCATTGCAATTTCACGAGTGCCAAGAATTCAGATTAACGCGCTAGTACTTAAACCCTCGATATCTTACTCGCTGTACTTACTCGGTTCAGAGAGAAAAAGAGAGGGGGGGCAAGAGTGGGAGCTGCAGAAATTGATCGATCAATTACTAAAACTAAAACTATTGACGAGCTGAAACGAATCGCGACCAGAGTGTCAGAGCCCGCGCGAAATCAAGCTGGAACGAAAGCCAGATCTATCAGTTCCGTCGGCCCGCGCGACGCTCCTCGAGGGTCGAGGACCCTTGGACTCCTCTACCTGACTCTACGAGTAGGCAGATAAATCCGCCGCCTACTACTACTCGCTACAGACAATGCGGCCAGGACGGTGCATCATCGTCCGTATTGTTTGCTCAGCCATCGGCCACACGGGCCGATCTATCGCAGGTGCTGGAAGTAAGAAGGCGGCTCGACCTCGAACGCGTAATGCGCGCACGGCCACCAACCACGTCGTGGCCTGCTGCTCGAATGGAAATTGGAATTTTTGTACGAGACATTAGACCTAGGAATAAATTTTCGTCGCTCGATCGAGCACACGCCCAATTGTTCGGCTTTTGTTCTTTGAAACGCATACGCCGTCCCCGGTACGCCTTAAGTTTGCGTCGTCGGATACATACGTGACGTCGATCGGAGGTGGACCGAAAGCAAGATATCGACGGCAAACTCGTCTTCGTCTTCTTCTTTATAGTCAACATTTTTTTCTCGATCTTCTTATTCTCCCCATTATTGTCCTCCTAATTCTCCTCGACTCTCGCGATTCTTCCTTCTTCTTCCTCCTCCTCCTACTTCTCCCCCCCCCCCCCCGTCTTCTCCTCTCTCGTTGCACCGATAGTTCTTTTTCTTCGTTTCGGAAGAGGAGGTCCGCAACAAAAGTGCCATTGTCACCGTTCAAACGGGCAAACCCATTAAAGAACGTCAGGGATTTCTACGAAATCTTTCCGCTGTACACCAATTTCAGCCCGACGTGGTGGCATGGTCGCTAGGGGAAAATTACAGAGTTCGAGTATAAAGGGTGAAAAAAGAAAGGGAAACAGGGAAGACGCAGAAGAGGCAATGTGAACTGTGGATACGAAGAAAGAGCATGCTGCGATAATCCAACACACACACACACATATATACACACACACAGAGAGAGGGGGGAGGGGGAGAAATAGAAGGAGACCGACAAAGTTCTCGTCATTAACCGAAATGATTACCGGTCGCAAGGGCCACCTACACCCGAATTCGCTTCCAACGGCGTGTCGTCGTTCGTTTCAAGATGAAAGACCGCGAACTTTCTGAAAGAACACGGGGTTTCGACGTTGGCTTCCGGCGTGCCCTATCATCCTGTTTGCTCTCTCTCTCTCTCTCTCTCTGTCTTACACTTCGTCGTCGCTTTTACGAGACTCCCTCTCCTCGTAACGACACAGAGGGAAAAAAATTGCCTCCGTTCACTGAAAAAAAATCTTTACTCACGAGAAGAAAAAGACAAAGATGACCAAGAGGAAGAAGTAGACAAAGAAGAAGTAACTACATTTCTTGCGAGCGGAGGCGCAACGATGATGCCAGCCGGACCGAGCGCGATCGAGTTACGAGTTTCGAATGTCCGCAGTAGTCGTGAGTGGCTCTAGAGTTTCGCGCTCGAATTTCGTAAAAAACGTGATTTCGAGACGCGGATTTGAGAACTCGATAGATAATTTCGTTGCGCGAACAACGTCGACTTTTGCCCTTTCTTCGACCGACCTTTTCTTGCAACCGTGAAACGCGCGAAATCCGATAGATCGTATAGCTTTCTGCGCCTACGTCGATAAACGTACGTTCAGCCGTCAAACTGTTTAAGCGGTCGTATAAAAAACCTGTCTACGAGCTTGTCGACTAGACGTTCCTACTTCCCTGGTAACTGCAACGATCCATCCTAATGTAGGATAATAGACGAAGAAAAATGAGAATGACTGGAAGGACGAAGCGAAACGAAGAAACCAAGGTAAAAGATTTCGCTGAGGCATAGAGTAGAAGGGCACTGAAAATTGGGAACTGGTGGGGGTGATGGAGACCAGCCGCATAATGACAGGGTGCCTCGCGCCAAGGTCCCGCTAACGAACCGGCCCACGGGACCAAAAGGGTCCAGGCTAGGAGACGACACTGTATTATTTTACCATTTCGAGGGTCGGGGGCATCATCAGAAA